AACAAGGTGGATCGAAAACGTGCTTCTTAATATTTGCTGCAAAGAAATCGTTGCAAATACATTAAAGTGATCTGGATTGTTACAAAACTTTTTTTATGAAGAAAATGGGAAAGAAATCTGCTACGCTTCTCGTAACTTTAGTGGACAGAACGTAGTGAGTAACTGTGACGTGCAGCAGAAGTAAGGTGGAAGTGTGAACGGCACCGATTGGAGTCGCTCTAATAAATATCAGCGGATGAGCTGTTTAATGTTATACTTGACATGTGATTACTACTGATTCTCTTCGAGCACTTAAATGTGGCAGGTCGATGATGAATTCAAGTGAGATGCTGAAAAGATTCTTCGAATTCATACCGCTGTAATGAGCTCTCTTTACTTACTTGATGCATGAATGGGCCGTCCTCACTGGTTGTGCGGGGCGCAGCATAATCTCCATTTTTCGGAGATTTGCTAGTTAATCCATTATGGTTCTTTGAAGTCCCGAGGTTAGCTTGGCCATAGTCTGCCCCAGGTCTTCACCACCACGGGCAGTCGCAGCCCTTGTGGATCAGAGGGAGAGGAGACCCTGTCAGGGGTTGGATCCTCCGCTGTACATCGAAGTCCGACACCCAGGAACACCTCCCAGCCACGATGAGGCGGTAAACTGTTGGGAGGCTCTCTTTAAGGTTATCATATCGCTCTCTTCTACATTGCTACGGCTTTTTCTAATTTAGGATATTTTAGTGATGCAATAATTTATTCATAGCACTATTGTTCCATTAGGAACTTCGATAGTTGTTCTAATTCTTGTTTTTGATTCAGCATGATCAGCCTCCAGATCGATCATCATGAAGCACACGTTCCATTTAGTCTTAGGTGCCATCATTTCATTATTTGTACTGTGTATGTGATCGATCTTGCTAAACCATTCCTAAAATGCATTTTGTCATGTGGCGCTTTCGGTCCAATGGAGTTTAAATTGAGTAGCTAAAACCGCGCTAAGGAGGCGTGTAGCGTGGTAGTCGGAGGCGCCCGGCAATACACACGTGGGATCGACTCCTGCGCCCATCGTCAACCGAGCCTTCCATCCATCTGGGATTGGCAAATCGGTACCAGACTTGTCTGGGAGCATGGCAGCACTGACTCCAGACATCGGTAAGCCACCACGAATCAGAGTAAAGGCCAGATATGCATCATTCAGCCACCTGCAAACGATGCTTAATGAAGTCCAATGCATGGCGCATCCCTCGGATTGATCAGCACCAAGCTGTGTTCTAAAACTATTTTTATCTGAAACTAGATCCTCACGAAGAAAAAAGTGAACAAAATGCTTCCTGGAAACCAGAGTTTCAGAATTTTACTTTAGCAGAATAACGAAAATCGGTCTGGTTATATGCCTCCTGTGGATTCTACTGGTTTCTACTTCAATTCATTAAGTTCACTATGAGCTGAGACATATCGATTTGCAGTAGAGAGAGAAAGCAGCTCTGTTATCACTCCGTTTGAAAACTAGTCATATAGTCGCTCGTGTCTTCAAAGATTGCTATTACTAATATTGTTTTTATTTGGTTTATCTTATACCACCCGTGATCGATCACATTTCGTACGGATCCCAATGATTCTCTTATTTGACTGGGTTCGTCGTAACCACAATCCACAAAAGTCTTCGGACTCTGCGTGTAAGCTTGGCTGCTGCTTGGGGATTTTCCTCTTCTCATGAATGTCATTGAATGCCGATCGTGCCGATTCTTTCTGGAATCCTGGGACTGCCGTGTTAGGGCGTTCCTATGTCTTCATCGCAGACATTGCACAGCTCTTGTGGATAGCAAAGAAGCAACTGCGCCACTCTTCTCTATTATTATTAACATTATTGCAGTTGTTACTGACTGAATGACATTGGTACCACTCTTGTTATCTTTAATGAACTTCATTACTACTCTTTGAACCTTTCGATATTTCGTCAGCCCGTCTAGGGAAGTCATATGATCCCAAACTCATTTTTTTTACTCATGTTTTCTTTTGTGATTGTTTTGCGACATGCATTCTAGTGGATCATAAAGATCAATCTTGCTTATTCTTGCTCTATCTGGGAAGGCATTGCTACAGCAATCTGTGGACGATTCGCAAAATTCTTGACATAGTTTAAATATCATACCGCGTGTGTTCTGCATAGCAAGTTAAACAGAGGGAGCGAAGTTTTGGGGGAGTTTTGCGCTCGTTACTTGATCCGTTTCCCATTTCGAGATAGGAACGCCATCTGTGATAACGTCTCTTTTCTTCAAAGCAAAATCCTCGTGTTTTTTCCATATTTGTCAAAACGCTCAGTTGAACACGGGATGTGATATTTTTAGGGAATAATTCGTCAAAGGACCACTTCGATTTCATCTAGGCTGCAATAGAAGTCATCTTTTTTTCCTGAATTGGGCTCCCTTCTAGTTGATTGCATTTTTTCTCACTTCGTTCAACAGTTTTTTGTACCTTCACTGGCATTCCTCAAAGCGATGATGACGTCGTGAATAATGGAGTTGTTTTATAGATATATACCGAAAAGTGCATGCTCTTTTCATGTCAGTCGAACCACTTCATTATTTACTTTGGTGCGTCGATGAAGAGGTTTAACACTAGTTTTATCCTGTCGTTCCTTTTTTCACAGCAACTGGAAGAGCTGTATTTTCATGGTTCACATGCCACTGAAGCCGAGTAGAGTTTTTATACAATAATAGTACTTTCTTTGACCACCATTAACATTATTGTTGCAACAATAATAACTGTAATTGTGACTAGTATTACTATGTCCCAGCAACATTTGCAATTAATACTTACTCGTTTACTTTTTGTTATTATTACTTCTACTATAATGCTGTAACTGCTCATTGTTACTGTTGCTCCTTACGATGGTAGTGATTGCCGTGTATGAAAGAACGGCGGTCTCACCACCTTGTAATTTCTTTGAAACGTGGGAGAACCAGATGAAGCACTCCGTCTCTGCTGTGGCAAACTCATTAATTCTTTCAGCACACGGATATTCATGTTATTACACAAAAAGTTAGAAATTACATCTGACGGCTTAAATGGATAGCAGAGGAGTGGAAGTCGATGGCGGGAAGCTACACCATTTTCCTCTTGATTTTTACATGTTTAGTACAATATCAAGCTTTAGCTAAAACGGGTTTATCTGCTTGGAACATATACCAGCAGACATTGAGTCCTGGATTCTTGTTGTGCACGTTCTTCGTTCTCGAAAAGCAGGAGGCCGTCATGAAACATAACGTAATCTGACTACTCACCGCTAATTCCGTTATCAACAACTTCAACCTCATCGTGTGTTTCATTTCTTGGATGCTCAGAAAACAGCATTGCAAAAATTTCCACAACCTCGGTGTAATCAGCGTCCTCAATATTAAGATATTCCTGATCATTCTTGATGAGGAGTCTATCGAAGTTCACTTCCTTGGTCACTGGTTTTATTCAATTGTAGATTGCTTAAAAATGATTATCGCAGGATTTGCTACAGCATTTAGGCGGGAGCTTCTCAGGTGGTAGTGGTCCGTAAAACTTCAGTCACCTCAATATGGTTGTGAACGATACAAAGGAAAAGCAAATAAGTAAAAGAGAGCGACAGAAAAAAAAGTAAGATGGTCTGGAAAGTACTACGCTCAAATAAGAGGGTTGGCAATGGGACAACGACTTAGCTCCAAGCCTTGCCATTGCATTTATGTCTAAGGTGGAAGAATCGGTGACTGATCTCGGGCCGCTACTCTACTGTAGGTATGTAGACGACTGCTTTCTCCTTTGCTCAACACAAGAGGAAGTGGACAAATGTTTCGAGTTGTTAAATGAACAGTCAGAATATGTCAAGTTCACCCGAGAAAAGCCGAAAGAAAAATGGCTTCCACTTCTGAACGTACAAATTCACCTATCAGAAAATGGCTACATTACAAAGTGGTACCGAAAGCCAAGTAGTAAAAACATCTTGGTTCATTACCTCTCTTCTCACCTCTCTCACACGAAAAGGGTGCTTATAGGAAACATGTTTCAGACAGCAATCAACGTGTGCACGGGAAGAGAGCAAAGAGAGGAGTCCCGGAAGCTGGCACGGCAAATAGCCATTTCTAATGGCTACGAAACTGTAGCTCAGAATAGGTGTAGAGGGAATCGTAGGCCTCCAAACGACAACTCTAGCGATAGAAGGGTACTGTTTATCCTACCCTTTAACTCAAATGATATAAGTACAGCTATAAAACGCGGCTTAAGAAGGGCGGGCTTAGAGAATTCGGTAAGCGTAGTTGAAATACCACCGAGTAATCTTAAGCGCCAGCTAGTTCGTAACCGCCTATATGACCGTCTATGTGCAACTCAAAATTGTATAATTTGCCCCAGTGATAGAGACGATGATTGCATGAGCTCGGGTATAGTTTATCTGATCTCCTGTAAGACGTGCGGTGACGAATACATTGGCGAAACGGGTAGACCACTCTGGGTGCGTTTAAAAGAACACCTAGCCGGCAAACATAGACCAAATACTCCGCTAGGCACACATAGGACCCAGAGAGACATAACGGGGAGGACTTTGAAGTATGTGTCACGACCCTCGCACGCGAATCAAGAACACAGGTGCGAAAAACTCTCGAAGCATTCTGGATTAACTCCAGAAATCCGAAAATGAACCGCAGGGAAGAATGCCTCATTATCACGCGTGATATAGGGCAGTATATAAGACTGCTATTCTGGTGTGAGGGGCACATTATGCTTCCATGTGATTTCTGTGCGGTCAGTCTCTACGTGACATACTTAGTGAAAACCTCATAGAAAGCGGTGAGTGTGCAAAGCTGTGTTCAAAGTGATTGAAATCTTGGTTTCGAGTTTCTTTGTTTGGTTATGGAGGCGTCTGGCCGAGTAGATTGCTATCAACTTGACCTTTCTAGGCTCTGAGGAAGGCGAAATCCGTCGAAACGTCAGCTTATTCGTGAATAAAAAATAATAACACCTCGTGTTTGCTCAACAAAAAAAGGCTTACTCGTTTACTTTTTGTTATTATTACTTCTACTATAACGCTGTAACTGCTTATTGTTACTGTTGCTCTGGCACTTACGACATGACGACCCGTTGCACTGAACTGTGCTGTGGGATGAAGAGGCGCAAATATGGCATAGGTTATTATTTTGAAGATACTGGTATCTTCTTTGAGGTGTTTCGTATTTACTGCAATAGAAAGGCTTATGGTCGCCTTTACAATACATGCACAAGAGTTTTGTCGTCGGCGACTTCCAATATTTGCCTTCATTGTTGAAGCAAACTGTATCTCGAGGAGGTGTTGAGGTGGTCTGGCGATACACCAGTTCCTCGCTGGTTATAACCTCTTCAAAATATTTTAGAAGCTGTTGCATGGTAAAGGGTTCGTCTAGAGAAGTGATCTTTTTGCAAAGTACTTTGCGTTGGATCCCGACCGGAAATTTCGAAAGAACCTTTTGATACATGAACTGATTGTCGACATTTTTACCTTTATGCACTAATTGGCCAATGATGGCTTCTATGTCTTCCAATAGTCTGCGTTGCTTTTGTATGGACGATGAGTTAAGGGAGAGTTTGTCCATCTTTCTGAGAAACTGACGAATGAGTTCTTCAGAATTACCGTACTTATTAATAAAGAATTCTATGGCTTTTGCGTAGTTTTGCCGAGTGAGTTGGAACTTCTTCTTCGATTGTAGAGGTTCGCCCGTTAAGGAGCTAAGCAGGTAGTTAAATTTTTGTAGCTCGGAAAGATTTTGTGAATGTACATTTAAGTTAAAAGCTCCCAAAAGTTGTCCCAGTCCCATATGTAGCCAATGAATATTGGGATAGGGATTGTGGGTAGCTCCAGATTTTTCGCGACCTCAGTGACGGTGGACTCATCTTTGCCACTGTTCGTAGTGGAGGGTTTGTAGGATGTGTTGAGAAGCTCAGCGTGAGCCTTAAAGCCATGGATCCAAGCATGAAGGAGTACAAGGTATTCGAAAGTATTGCCAATAGCTTCTTCGGCAGTACTAGAGTACTGTGTGAACTCTTCTTCAATATTCGGTAACGTTGGGTGTGCCTTTTCGAACATGGTAGCGAGTTCATCTAGTGCGTGTTGAATCTTTGTGGTCATGTTTTCTAACGCTGCAACTCCTTTCTCTAACTGCTGTAGGCTTGTGTGAATAACGGTAGGCGTTATCTCATCTTGCAGGTTTTGAATGCTGATTTCTTCTAACTGCGCGTTCTTGAATCGGGTTAGAACTTTTTGCAATTGGTTAGTATACCCCGTGAGTATCCGTTTGTGACTTACCAGTGATAGGTTGAACATGATCGACGAATTAACGTACTTGGTTGTGACTTCCTTGACCTGATGGATTCTTTCAAGCAGCCAATGCACCAGAAATGATACGGGTAATGAATAGACGCAACCTGATCACTGGTGTTCAGGCTGCTTATGAGTGAAGAGATTGGCATATGACTTTCACTACATGAGATGGATGTGGGGCACGAATGCGGTGACTTGGGCAGCATCGTTGTGACATGAGCTAGCTAACCGTGGAGCCGTTTATATACCTTTGCGCTGGGCGGAGTCAGATTACAGTGGGCGGAGTTGGGCTACAGCAGGCAGAAAGACGGGTGCTGGAAACATTTCTCAAGTCTTGCAATCTGATGGAGCGATATTCAAAGCCTAGGACCGTAAGTGCAGATATTTTACGAGATAGGCGCCAGCGAAATGTTAGACATACGGCTATCAGATCGTCATGGAAAGAAGGTCATGAGAGAAGCATTTGAAATGCTTGGAAAGGTTAGAATTGATTTACATAGAGAACATTCCAATATTCGTGAAGAATGTTTTCTTTAGATTTCCACATCGAAAGAAAGTCCAGCTGCTACTCAAGGACCTGTAAAGATGGTGAGAGCAAATTAGATGCATTCTAAAATTATTCGGCATGTGGACGGCAACGAAAGATCCTTCTGTAAATATGTTATTGTAGATTTCAATGGTGCAATATGATGGGCCAACAAAAATGGTTACAGTATTGGAGAACTCGGTATATGAAATCGAAATAGTAATGGGAACCATCTTGCAGGACTCCTACCAGAAAGGCTCCTTTGTTAGAATTCCTTCTTTGCAAAGGGGAAAAATCGCCGATGAACACGGGAGGCTCCTAACGTCGGGACTCATGTGGAGATCGATCAATATTCACATGAACGGAAAATGGTGCCTCCTCGACACATCACTATCTGGGTTCCGTAATGGATCATAAGGTGGAAAAAACTTCGATCATCGTCTGTGAGAAACGAAACGAGTCGTGCATGGCGGGAATGTTCTAAGCAAAATCCACTCCTCCTATTATTGACAGAAAAAGGAAAACCCGTCCGAATACTATAAGTCGAAGGACTGTCGAATAACTTGAAAGTTTTGCCGAACTCGCTCCAGTTCCTTAAACAAGAAGTTCGGACATCGTCTCCATTACGACTAAGGAGTTGCTCGAAAAGAGAAGGACGCTTAACTTTGATCTTATTGCAACACGCTTAACCTGGGTGGAGTCGCAGCCGCAGGAAATCTTTGCAAAAAGGTTTACATCGATGGGAACACAAAAAATTTATAAAACGCAGTAATGGTGTTAATTAATTAATTAATAATGATGGTAATTTCTAAGATCGGCTTTCTGTTAACCTCGGCATTGGATTATAAATATCTTTTTCTTTCTCAGCAATCGTGAGTTTATTGTTCGGCAGACGTTTACTTACGAGAAGAGCACACAACGGAACGGTAGCTGACGTTTCGGCAGTATCACCTTCTTCAGAGCGTGAAAGAGTACACTGACACGCAGTTACTAGGTCAAACCCTTTAACAGCACAAACAAAAAGTTGAGAATCTGAAAGGTAGTACAAGATCTGCTGCTTCTCAAAAAAATCACCGTTTTTCACCTGCTTCCACACAAGGAGAACAGCTGCTTAGAGTCGCATATGGTTGATGATTGCACCACCCCTCATCAAAAAGCGATTTTTGAGATGCAGGGCTAGATCACGTAGTATCTTTGGCATTCATCTCTGGTATTCACTCTCGTGTTCTTGGCATTTATCCAGAAGGCCTCGAAAAGTTTGCGCGCTTGAGGTTATTGGTGACAGTGTTCTTTATATCGGAAACGGGGTTAATGATACTATGTGAAAAGTGGCACATTCATATTATTGAATATAAATTTGTTATTTGATGAATTCTTACCGTCGAATGTCATTTCGACGTTTTCAATGATAGTCGTTCCATTACGGAAGGCAGTAGCGTTTTTACTAAGCGTCGAATTTAACGCACGAGCGTAGACATACGCACTGTCGAAAAGTTGGCCGGCATAAGCAGCAGCCTAAAGATAGTCAAGGAAGGTCACACAGTTGACCATTTCGTAATTATTCAAAAAAGTGCTATTAACATCCGACAGTAGACTATTTTCACGATCAATCTGCTACTTGGCACTGACGGAATGCCAGACAGCCAAGACGTTTGGTGAAGAAAGTGAAGAATCCATGAAATAGTATAGATAATACAACCACAACGTTGCTGAGATATTTGCAAAACTCTGGACCGCAGGTGTCTATGGTGAGGAACGAACGCCCTATTGTCCATTCCGGGGAGTAACGCGTTCACCACCACACCATGCGAGTCCTTCGTTTCGCCTGTCTCTCAGCTATTTCTATCGATCTTTTTGCCACAGTAATCACCCGTCAGCGGAGTTGATCTGGGGAGCGCAAATCGGCATAGAACCCAGTTAAGCTATGGCTGTAGTTGAAATCACAATGTTTAACGTTTTGTTTTCTGAAATCACAATGTTTTGTTTTCTGCCTTCTATAATTTTCATAGCAGGTTACTAAGCGAAATACAACCACAACGTTGCTGAGATATTTCCGATATAGACATTGCGCTCCCCAGACTCCGCTGACGGGTGATTGCTGTGGCAAAAAGATCGATAGAAATAGCTGAGAGACAGGCGAAAAGAAGGACCCGTATGGTGTGGTGGTGAACGCGTTACTCCCCGGAAAGGACAATAGCGCGTTCGTTTCCCACCATAGACACCTGCGGTCCAGAGTTTTGCAAATATCTCAGCAACGTTGTGGTTGTATTTCGCCTAGTAACCTGCCATGAAAATTATAGAAGGCAGAAGACAAAACGTTAAACAGTGTAGATAATATTCTCCAACTCGTGGAAAGAAGCCTTTGTTTCTACATGTATCGCAAAGAATATCGGCAACATACACGCAACATGTACCTTAATACAATGCGGTCCTCTACAAAGAGTGTATGAGGACCACTCTTCAGTTGGATTCATTCTTATCTCTCGCTTCTTCTACTCTCCAGAAAAACCAAGAAGAAGCGCTTCGAGACAGGCAACAATAAGAAGAGTCACAAACTAAATATAATTTGCCCTAAATATTCTTGTACTAAGCCAGTTGTAAAGTAAAAAATTTTCCCATTTTTTTACTTTTTTATGTTGTTTACGTCCACATCTCACTAACGACTGAAAGAACAAGATCTACATAGTGTGCTGAAAATGGCATTTCGTCTTATAAGCATTCTTGGATTTTCGTTTTACATTAGCAATTCCTTCCTGTTTATGCAACCTCGTAATCCTCTTGAGAGCTACTGCTTTTTCCCTGTGGCTATGGGTGATTCTCCATTCTAGGCACAGAGTGTGATAGTATGAGCATGTGCACATAGGTCTCAAATAAAACCAGCTAAATGTTCTTAGAACCACCTTAATTATACTGAGATATTTGCAAGATTGCGAACTCCACGTCAGAGTTCCACATGAACTTTGAACCGGCAATTACCCTTTCTGGGGTTTTTTTGTTACCCAGCGCATCACCATGGTGCTTGCTTTGCCTTTCCCTCGGCCAGTTTTGAACCTAACAGGGCTATTTTCACATGAAGAAAGAAATGGGCGGTGAACAAAAAGTTGATTGTGATTTCGATTACATTCTCATCTTAGCTGGGTTAAATACGCATTTATGCTTCCCAGATCATTCCCGTCGTCGGGTGATTGCTGTTAGCACCATTAGGGTGAAAAACTGGCTGAGAGAAAGCAAAGCAAAGGCTTCAGTGGTGCAGTGAGCGACACGTGAGCACCTGCAAAAGGTAATCATGAGTTCGAAGCTGCTCTGAGAATCCGAGTTTTGCCAGTATGGCAGCATAATTACGTTATATTTCACATTGTACGCTACCATGAAAAAATAATGGGCAATAAATAAAAAATTAAGCATTGTTTCTAAAGTGATTACCAGTCCAACATTCACAAAAATTCTAGACTCTTCCTAAATATGATGAGAAGGCAGCAAACTTTGTGAGCTTCTAATGGAGAGGATGATACTCGAAGAACTCTGTTTCATGCAAATGGCGGCGGGTTCACTCTAACAATATTTTAGCTTCCTACGTAGGAATAGTAGGTTCCTTTGCAATCATCTACGTAGTTGAATGGCGGATCCTTCATTCGTGAAATTACTGCCTCGTTGAATACCGCGTAATCTTCAGCCACTTCCCCACTTCCCATGTGCTGAAAGTTGTTCACTAAATGTTTGAGGTTAAAGGCTATAGGTAAAACAATCCAAAATTTTCTTGTTGCACGAGCTATTTTCCTGCCATTGTTCATGAAAACACCTTTAGCACCAAAAGTTACTTCTCAAATTTTAAACGTATAGTTTGGTTTTGTCCCCCAACGGTTTACAGCCTCGTTGTGGCTGGAAGGTGTTCCTTGGTGTAGGGCCCCTGGCTGGGCCTACCCACCTGAGAAGGAGTCCTGCGTTTTCATCAGGAAGCCTAGCTAAGAGTAAACCAATACAAGGATCTACTGCCGTCCTGGTATCAATGTCGTACTCTGGAAAATCTCCTTCTGATCCACAAAGACTGCGACCGCTTGTGGTGGAGACGACCCGGAGAAGACCTTGGCTAAGCTAACCTCGGGATTCCAGGGAATCACAATGGCTTAGCCGGCAAATCTCCAAAAGATGGAGGTTGTGCTGGAGCCCGCGCAACCAGTGAGGACAGGCAATTCAAGTATCGAATGCCAAGTAAGTTTAGTTTTGATCAAGAATTCCTTCCTTTACAAAATTGCAGTTTCTCGATCTTTCTTTATTTTACACACATCTGATATAAACAACGTCTGTGCGAAAGCCATCATCACCTCAGCGTCTCTACCGTCTTTTGGAGTGTTTGTGTCTTCCCACGCTAACCTCTCCTTGCCACCTAGTAGAGGAACATCTGGAATCATTAACAATTATTTCTATTTCACTACTACATCACATCTGCACTTGTCTTCAGATGAGATTTCAGAAACTT